GACTGTATGCGTAAGACATGGTTTCTTACATTTTTCCAAGAGTTCCTTCAGATTTATAGTACTTGGCTTAGTTCGTTTTGATTCAATTTCTGCTCTAGTATCTGGCTTAATAACAACTGGCTGTTGAGCTGGGAATAAATCAGGAAAATGTTCTGGGTATTTTTCTGGCACAAGGGGACAATAGTAAAAAGCAGGATTGTCGACAACCGGCTTATAGACTATTGTCTCTTGTGGCTGATGGACAAAGGTTTCAAGTATCTGGCTGTATGTAACTGGCTGTTCAACTTAGCGTTTATCTGGCTTACTCTGATACAGTTTTTTCAACGGTAATATTCCTTTCACTGGTTGGAGATTTTTAATTGGCTTTAGTGGGACTGGCTTGTGCTTGTCGAAGAAGCGAATGTGTAAAAGATTTTCATCAAATAACACATGCTTCTTGACTCGCATTGGTGGTCTGCTGGCATTAGCCTGATTAATTGGCTCATAATTAAATGAACCAAAAATGGCTGGATCAAAACTGATAAATTTCTGATATGGCCACTTATAAATAACTGTAATGGGAGTTCTGAGGAAATCTGGCTTCTGCATATCGTTAGCACTGAATGCTTTGCTGATGGTTCTGCGTTCCTTCTCCATGAGATTGTATTCAAATACAATATCGTCATGAAATTTGTGCTGCCGATAGTGGATGATCCGTTTTCCACGTGACGATTTTATGCCTTTAAGTTTGTGCTGGCTTAAACTGGACAAAATGCCTTCGTAAAGCTTACTGTTTTCCTGTTTATAGAGTGTCAACTCTTTCATCTGCCTTATGTAGACTTGGTAACGCAACCAAAGGTCTACTTGCTTGTCGTGCTGGCTTTGTTCTGATTTATTTTCTGGCTTAGAGATTTCTGACTTATTAGTTTTGAGAATCTTGGCTTTGGAACTGCCTTGTAGTCTTCTGGCTTATCGCTGCTGATAGTGTGCACGGGATTTTGTAGTGAGCCTTCCCCTTTTTGATTTGTATCCAGTGGCAACGCAGTTGCCACTGGTATGGAGTAAGACGTCACTGGGGGATTCCTAGATGGCTTTATTTCCGGTGCGGCAAATATGGCCGGACTGGACTGATTTATTTCCAATGCAGCAGATATAGCTGGATTGGACTGATTTATTTCCAACGCAGCAAATGCGGCTGGGTTGGACGGATTTATGGGCTTAGGGCGCGCGCGTTTATTTTCTGGCCGAAGGTGAGTGACTTTACCACAGTCAGCCACCATCACGGCATTTTCTAGGAAATCCTGGCCTATAAGAAGGTGCACACTGTCTCTGCAGGGCGGCTTAACGTATATGCTGTGAAGCACTACGTTGCCGTTGATCTGTATGGGAACACTGGCGTAATGTGTGACGGAGAAATTACAAATTCCTCCTGTGCCTCTGATATGCATTGGTTTTGATAATGGTTTCTGATGGAGGTTGTGCTGGCGACACAGCTGATCAGACACCAGAGACGTTTCCGCCCCGGTATCGACCAGTGCGTGTACAATGGCTGAACCGATCGTAACTTTAACAGTTAACGTCGGTGCTTTTCCTGGCTCATCGTTGCTGCCTATACGACAATGATGTACAACTGGATTTGTATCGACGCCACACTGGAAATCGTTCACGGTAGAACCGCGAAGGTTTACGCTGGCTTTTGGTTTTGGCTGTTCTGGATTTACTGCTGATAGTTCTGGAATGATCTCCAATCTGACGTGAGAAAGGAGCTGGTTTACGTTTACTGGCTGTGGTTCCACAGTAACCGAATGACAAACATGGCTACTTATCACTGGTTTTGTGGATGGCTTACGCTTTCCAGGTTTTGTAGTGACTGGCTTATCCGGCGGTTTCTTGGGACGGGGGACAGCAGTGACGGTTGCTGCTGTCCTTACTCTTTTAAATCATCATCTGCCTCACTGTCACTGACATTTCCAAGCTGTGTTTCCTGATCTGAATCGTCACTGGCTTCTGATAGCTCACTGAAACGATTGGACTGTAATGGGCGTGCCGGCGATCCAGGGCGGCGAACTGGCCGGGCCAGACCACCTACACGTTGACCATTGCCTGTGTTGTTTTGGCTTCTGCTGTTCTGATTATTAGGCCTGTCATTTTCTCTGGGTGGGCTCTGAGAGTGTCGTCGTTCACGACGTGCCTTGGCATCTTCCCATTCTTTGCAAGATCTGCGTGTTCCGTCTGGCCAATGGTACTTCTGATACACAGGGTTGTCTTCCGGTGCCTTTCCTGCTTGTGTGCATGCCTCTGAATTATGCCCTTCAATGCAGCACCACTTACAGTAGTCGATGCCTTCTCGTGGTGCATCACTGCCTTCGGTATTGCGCTGTGGAGATTTGTTTCTGGCTGGGCGGTTGCCAATACCACTGGACGTCGGCTGACGACCAGGGCTGCGACCGCGATTGCTGTCTCGCTGTGCCTGCGGTTTTACTGCCTGGACGTACGACACTTTTGCGGTGCTGCCTTTAATTTGGGTATCCAAATCGTCAAGTTGCAACGACTTGAGATACCTGCTGTTTTGGAGAAACTCCATGGGTGTTTTTGGCTTCATAACTGCAAGGTTCTTGTGCAGTTCAGGGGCTGTTTGCAGTCCCCTTAACAAGCACGAGACAAGATATTCGGGTTCGTTCTGGCCACTTTGATCTGATAATGACGCCATCGACTGAAAGTACTTCTCACTACTTTCAGTTGCTGGGTCATACTTCCTTGTCATGAGTTCCTGGAGGGCGTGAAATTTCTTGTCGGGATCGCCGAAGCGTTCCAACAATTTCTTCCTGGCTTCGGTATAAGTGGCTAAAGGTGTTGATGATGCCATGATGCCACTGAACCATGTCGCTGCCTCATCCTGGAGAGCACCAGCGAACCGATTCAGTGTATCCTTGTCATCCCAGTTTCCTGCCTCTTTGGCGAGTTCGAACATGTTGAGGAATCCCTCAACACTGTCCTTACTGCCTTTGTATTTAGGGACAAATGAGTTTTGGCTATTTGAACTGGCTACTTTGGGTAACAACTGAGCAAGACCCAGTGTATGTGCCTCTAATACCTTTCCAATAAGGCTGCCTACATCCAGTTGTGGGGTTGCCACACTTGGAGCTGATTGGGATATGCCTGCATTTTCTTCCGGCTCTGTATCTCCGAACTGGACATGATCACGGTGTTCTGGCTTACGGCGTCGAGAAGGGCGCCGGGTAGTGGTGGCATCCCGAGGGAGCTCGACCACTTCCGGTGACTCATCCCGACGTGACTGTTGTTTCTGCTTACGGGTGGTTGGTGGGGGAGCGGCCGGCTGAGCAGTGAGAGGTTCCTCGATCAAGCATGCCTCAAGTTCCCCACATAAACCTTTGTAATGATTATACCGATCTCGGTAATGATTCAGTTCTTCCTGGAGGACTTCTGCCTTTTGTGTTTCTGCCTGTATACGTTTTTGTGCTTCCTCTCGCACCTGCTGATGGGCATACTCAGCCCTTTCCTGTATTTGCTGCCTTTCCTGGTAAGACTCCTGGAGTGCCTTTTCGATATCGGCATTGGTCTGAGTAGTGCTGGCTTTACTATCGATGTGCATTTTCTGGAAGTTGATGACTTCTTCATGACGTTTTACGAGTCTGGCTAGTTCTTCGATTTTGGCTGCTGCAGAGTTTAAATGCCCTTTATCCTTGAACGATTCAATTTTGGCTTTGGCCCATAACTCACGCAGTCGGTCAACCTCCTGCTGTGGGTGTGGGTCTTGTTCTGGCTCTGGTGGGGTGTGAAATTCTGCCTGATCAGTTGATGGGGGAGACTGATGATTGTTTGGTTGTGCTGGAGGGTTTCCTTCTGGCTTGTCCTGTTCTTCGTCTGACTGTGACATATCGCTGATTTCATGGTCATGATGCTGATCTCCCAGAATGGAGTCAGCATCATCTGCCTGGAAGTTAGAAGTGGCTGCTGGTTCACACGATCAGCGGCACGTCCCGGGGAACGCGCTACCTTGGTGCTTCTAGCGAATACTTGTTGCTGGCTTACACTTTCGAGCGTGTGGTATGGGACGTTATGCTTACTTGCCTTCAGTTTTTGTGCCTTTGACCTTGACACACGTTTTTGTGCCGGTATTTCTGGCTCACTTGACACACCTTCATTGTCAATGGGATCTGGAGTTCGAACTGTCTTTCCTGGTGTTACTGATTTGCGGAAAAAGAAATTCATTTTTACTGGCGTTATAGCTACAATACTATAATAATCAGGATTGAACTGTCGGATATCTGGCTGATTAAGACGAAAATTAAACGGTGATTCTGAAATGGCTGCAAATTCAAATACAGTTAATCAAAATCAACAGCGTTTAAAAAATGCACGGTTTTGCTTGCCTGGGTGCTGTCTGGCTATTGCGTAAAAAGATGTTTTCAAACGCGAGTTCGAAAATTTTCTCTCTACGCTGCGTCTCTGAGTGCACTGGCTGTCAGTGGCTATTGTTCTCAAGCGAGCCGAGAACAAAAGCTGGCTTGCTGGCTGCGTTATCAGCGATGAAAATCTTCACCACTGATCGGCGTATCCGGGTTGATGGTCTGGCTGGTTATGCGGTGCGTGTGCAAATATTCGAAAGATGGTAACCTTTCGAATAATCGCACAGAGATTTGGTTGGTAGAAACTGGCTTATTTTGCAACAGAAAGTGTGCTAAATTTACTGGCTGCAGGAATCGTGTTTTTGCACACGACTCTCGATTTGGCTGGCTGGTAATCAGTGTACTTGACAGGCAGAAATACACTGAATTGTACGCTGAATTGTACTGAGTTTATCTGGTTTTACTGATGAAAGTTCGTGCAAAAATAAGGGGAGGACTGACACGTGGCTGTGTATACTGGCTTACACGAATTAAATGTGGTTTATCTGGCTGGAGGAAAAAGTTACCAGACAGTACACAGGTGAACCCTGTTGTACTGATGGCAAAATTAGAAGGAAAGAGAAGATGTTGGTTTGCCTTTTAGGTTCTTACTTCTTCACGATCCTGAGCTGCTCCTCGCTGAACCTGGTGACCAGTTTTAGCGATCTTTCGCGCACCAGGGATGACGGACGTCTGCGATGACGTGTAGAATCCGGAGGGACGGACTCCACGCGCTGATCTTCCGTAAAACGTCACGCTCTGCTACCATGCAATGTAGGCCGTGATCTACGTGAGGCCTACTACCTCTATCTATACCGGAAATACAGGAGAAAACGGGAAGACGTAAATATCCGTATTTACTCTTCCCAGCACGGTGGGCAGCACCATACAAATCCCCAAAAATATATATCATCAATCACACAATGCTATGACACAGGGAGATCTGGCTGGCATGAAATCACATTATAACCGTGTTGCGGCGATCTTTAAAAGTTACATATCACAGAACGACCGTTACATCGCAACCGCTGCCGCGTGATATGAAAAAGCATCTCTGGCCTTCTTTTTACCAGATCCTTGCGAAACGAAATCACATATAATCAGCACCATCACATACATAAAAGGCAGTAAAAGAAAGGAAAGTAGACTGTCCCATTCATGTGGCAACTTAGACCATATGCATTTCGACCAGTCTGACCAACTCTGCCCTCTCCTGTGTCTTTTGATAGGAAGTAGAGAGGTGACCAGGTGATCAGGACCTATCGGTTCAAAAAGGCGAATTGGGCAGGGATGCAGAGCTAAACAGCGAACGGTTATCACACAAGAACGGGTCTGATTCAGACCGCTTGCCATTTTTATAGCACTTGCGATGATAAGCATCGGTGATATGTGACGGTTTGGGAGTCATCGCAACACGGTTGGCTGTGCAGACTGAATGAGCAGTCTGTACTGGCTATGCTGCCAAGTACTATGCCTGAAAGTGAGAATGGCTGACGTACGAGTTGTGCGTAGTGCATTGCACGAGTAAACTCGTACAAGCACATACGCTGCCGTGCTATGGCTCGCAATGCCGTATAACAGTGGGAAATGGCTCTACGCAATAGTACTGCCTGACGATAGAGTGCTGGCTCACGCGTACACTCCCGATAGTACGAAGGCGTCTATAGCCTGACTATCCTGACGGAGTCTCTCTCAGGAGCGCAGCTCTTATTAGGGTTGAAGACTGAAAGTGTCTGTAACGGCTAATTTTGGAAAAGTTTGTTTTCAATGGGCAGAACAGAAAATAACATAGCAGATGCAGTGTGGTAGCAACGAAATTCCCTTATCGAAATTCCCACTCTGCCGAGGTCGTCAGCCCGATCCACTAAATCAAAATTCCATCTCTACGTATCAATCGATAGCCCTTGGTGTGTAGATTTGCCATCACAAGTCAGTTTTTAGAGAAAAACAAAGGTGTGAAGGAAACCTTCAAAAAACTTTAACATAGAAAGCCAATAGGAAAAGCTGAAAATCCACCACTTCAAAACTTACCATCCCACCACTGTCTCGACAGCTAAAACGCGTTTTGGTCAACTTTGCTGGGATGGGAGGAAAGTTCTTGAATCAAGACCACGTATTATTCCGTAGTATTGATTCTTGAATGAAATCATAAATTTTTCATAAGCAAATGGCGTCAGAAACAGTGAGATGTAGGAAAGAAGACCTAACAAAGTCTGCGAGTACTGTACGGAACTGCTCAAAACTGTTTCTCAATGAGCTGCCGTTCGCAGTGGTTTGACCAGTTTAAAATTGCAACGTTTCCACGGGCGGTTGCCATTGGTACTGATATACTGTTGAAGGCAAAAATCTGTTGTACTGTTGAAGTATACTGTTGATATACAGCAGGTACAGCAAATTTTTGCATTCAACGGCATATCAATACCAAAGGCGACCGCTGAGCGCGTGAATCGCGATGGTAAAAATGAGCAGGCAGATAATTTGTATTTAACAGTAAACTACAATGCTACGATGGTACTGCATGTTTAGGGAGGATGATATTATATGTTTATGGTCCAGCGACAGAAACCTGGCAGCTGCATATCCTACGCGAGCTTAGTTAAATTAACTGCAGCAAAGCTATACAGCTAACAAGTTTTTTATTTGAGTGGCTGCATAGTAGGTAGTTGCTTAGCGGTCGTTAGGCGCGTAATCCAAAGGGAATGCATCATGGTTGAGAACGAGAGATTTTGCGAACCTGAAATAATTTCCTTAGTTTTTCATAGAAGGCGGAGCCGAAGGCGACGCCGAGCTGCGGCGCGAGCGGAGCTCGCGGAGCAGCAAGCGAGGCAACCTGCATACTTTACATCTTCTGCTAAACGAGCGGACGAAAGAAAATTAAGAAATATTAAAATATTTTAAAATGGCTACTTATGTTTTCTAAAAAGTAATTTACTGTTAATTGCATTGTGAATGCAAACAACAGAAAACCAATTGAAAATCGGAAAATTTTCTGGTTATTATTTGATTGTCAAGCGGGAGTGTTTGATTCAGTCAGTAGTATTTCTAGATAGCCAATGCAAGGCTAATGCCTAATGGTACATGTACATTGAATTTCGAAACAGCGCGGCTGGGCGAGCGCATCGCGATGGTAAAAATGGGCAGGCAGATAATTTTTGTGTTTAACAGTAAATTACACAGCTCTATTTTGCAACTGGGCAAATAATCTGAAATTTTGAATGATACGAGTAGTTAATTAGTTATTTACTGTTGTGGTACGAAGGATTCGTTCTGTAGAGCTAAGTCGAAAGCCGGTCCATTTCCGGGAAGAAAATTTGAAAATTCATATGCTCATGACTCATGAGCCCTGTCTAGGGTTGTCCTGGCAGTCCAGAGACATCAAGTATTTGAAAACAGTTATTTCTCTGCATTGACCCATGAGACCCATGAGAGGCAAGCAGCTCACGGCCGAGAAATCCGGAAGTCGCTCGTGCGTTTCGTTGGGCCGGTGATGCATCTGTTGGCTGGCTTCTTGCGTCGGTTGGCATCGGAGAACAATGTGAAAGAGAAAATGTAATGAAAGTTATACAGCGCGAAAGAAAGATGAAGTTTTATTCACAATTACAGTGAGCAAAAGGGTTACAAAACAGATCTGTCAAAGAGATCGAACTAGAAAAATACAATTCCGTTTGTTAGGAAAATGCTAAAAAAATGCAAAAATCTGTCCGGGGGTCCTATTCCGACTAGGATGACGTCCACGGGGTGCTTGAGTTGCCACGGGGTCTCCTGTCCAATCTCATCCGGTAAGTTGGGTCCGGGGCGTCGGTTCCCGGGTTACCCGTCGTAACCGGCTAAAATCACCGAGGTCGGATAAGCATGATTAACACTTACTTCCGACTCGTATCCGTCCGTTGGGGAGAGAGAGGCACTGTTGCGGTTGCAAATGCCGAAGCATCCTCTCTAAATGGGGGAATCGGACCAAGGTCGGTTGACCAAGGTCGGACTACCGGTAAGTCGACCGGCTAAGTTCTGAATTCCGAAATCCGGCTAAGTTCAGGTCGGAAAAAGCTGTGTCTAAGTTATGCGACCTTTGTGGTCGTCAAGTACAGCAGCTCCGTTCAAAAATGGTCGGTAAAAACCGTTAAATCTGCTACCACGAGCCTGGTATGAACTTATCCGATGCGAACTGGCTCGAAGGTCCGGTCGGAATTCATGAGTTCCGTTGATAGGATAGTCGGTTTCCGTAGTTGGTCGACTTCCATCCAGTACGTTCTGTTGTTATCCGACCCGTAGTCGGTCACAATGTTGTGCGACTCGAGGTCGGTCATTCTATCTTCCGATAGTCGACCAAGGTTGGCTTGCAATGTCGTGCCAATGTGGGGCTAAACAAGTCCGTTCAGGTCGGATTCCTCCATCGTAGAGTAGTTATCCGTCATTTTCTGGCATGCTGACCGAGTTAACCAACTTTGTGTTGGTCGGTCAACATGTCCCACTTGTAGTCAGTTATCCATGTTGATGTCCCAAGGTCGGCTATGTCCGACTTCCCAAGGTCGGATAAAGTGTGTTTCCATCCGTCGAAAAGCTGGGATCTTTCGCTAGGAAGTCGATGTCTGAATTCTAATTCCTTTGCCGACTTCCGTTTGGTCACACGATCCAGCCGACCTGTAGTCGGCGATACGTTGTTCTTCAAGGTCGGGGATCGGTTTCCGAAGGTCGGTAAAACTATGTTTTTCACCGTTCGAAAATTGAAATCGTCTACAGGGAGGTCGATATCCGACTTCCGATTGCTCTGCCGACTTGTTGTCGCGCGTTTCCGACCTCCGTTTGGTCGTGACGACGTCCGACTTCGAGGTCGGTTATACGTTCTTCTTCATGGTCGACCAAAACGATTTTATACCGTTACGCCCAATGTGGGGCTAGTCGGCACTCGTTACGTCGACTTATTCCTGACATGAACTCTGGGTCGGATCCGAACTCCTGTTGGTCGGTCAATCCGCTTATCCGAGTAAAATGCCTCTGGACGGGTCCGAGTCCCGGCGCGTCCTCTAATTATAGTTCGTTGTTCGGGCATCTGTTGGCCGGATGACTAGTACTCCCTCATGCATCATGCTTTCGGTTGGTGGTAAAGAGCCTTTGTGGTCCCCTTTCACCATCCTCTTTGGTTTAAATTCGTCATGCACCTGCAAAGTTCTTGAGGTCGTATCAGATCCGATTCTTCGTCTTCTTTGGTCGCGAGCCAGGGACGCCTAGCCACTTCTGTTGAGGGTAGACGACTCGTGTCCGCAGGAGAGATTCTTTGCCGATGACTCAGAACATCTGGCCGTCGCTGTTGCGGGCAGACGATCTTCGCCATCGGTGTTCGTCAAGAGGTGCAGGTCGTGTGTCTTAACGCGGTCTGCCTAGGATGTTCCATCGGTGACATGGGGAAGCAGGTTGGCGGCGGAGTCGTTGATACACCAGTAGCCAACTAAACCGTCGTTATTCCTCTTCAGGGAATGGCAGCACGTTCGAAGCGCCCGTAGTCGTAGTCACCGGTGAATCAGCTGATGTGTCCGATATCCTCCGGGGGAGACGTCGGTTGGACTCCGGGTACAGGGTCTGTAGCTCTGGGTTCAACGGAGAATCCGGTACGACTTTAGACGGTTGTCATCATGGTTGTTAGCGCGGTCTGCGTCCTCCTTATGCTTCCATGTCCGATCCGTTCCGGATGTTATCAGTTCCGATCTTTGTGATCGGCTGGGTTAAGTTCCGAATGGCTACCAAGTTTACAACCGACCTTTGTGGTCGGTTGAAGTAGCGATCGTGGTTCTACGATCTGCGTGGTTGCAGAATTTTGAAAACCGACCTTTGTGGTCGGCTGGTGTAGCCAATCGTGGTTCCATTCGCGGTCTGCGGAATTGTCGAGTTGCTGCAAGGAACATGGTCGACCTTTGTGGTCGACCTAAATTCATATGGTCGAATTGGTCATTCCTGCGCTGTTGGCAGCTCGACCGAGGGATATCCGCTGTTCCCTATGGTGAAGGTTGCTGGTCGTCTTGCCCGGTTCCTAAGTTGGCCACGGGTGCTTGGCAAACATGAGGATGAACACGCAGCGACGTATTCCACGCCATGTTAGCGTAATCCTCTCAGTCTATGCTCCGCAGTCGGTTGGCCGGAGTAATCTTCGTTCCATGTAACGCGGATTGGGGCTTCTGTTGGCTCCAATGATAGCAGAAAGTGGTTCACGATATGTTATGTTAGCAGATGTGGTTACGATCTGTTGATGCCATGCATGGGGTCGGTTTGCCCAGTTCGGTCCAGGGGATTCCTCGGAGGACGTATTGGTACCGTGAAAGAACCGAAGTACCCAGGTCTGACCACTCGTTTCCGGGTCCGACCAAAAAATCCGGCCAACCTTTGTGGTCGGCTTGACTGGCATAGTCGTCGTTGACCCCCGCTGTTA